CAAGCGAGTCTCCTGCCTTTGCCTCCCAAGTAGCTGGGACCACAGGCGCCCGCCACAATGCCTGGCTATTTTTTGGTTGCAGCCATCATTGTTTGGTGGGCCCAGACTGGATTTGAACCTGCCACCTTGGGTATATGTGGCTGGCCCCTTAGCCACTTGAGCCACAGGCGCCAAGCCACTAAATCTCTTCTTAACATACAATTTTAGAATGCTGGCTTACATTCTAGGGACAGATTTAAAAAATAGTTTTTTAAAGCACATATCATTATTATTTAAATGTTTGGCTCCATATATTCCTTAGCTCCTCTTGGGAAGCAATGTGGCTGTGTCAGCAACCCTTCAGGTAATTTCAGATAAACTATTCTTTCCTCATATTATAGGCATCACTTTTTAAAAAAACCTTGGTTTCTCAACTTCCTTAAGAAAGGACTGGTTTCCTTTCTTAAACTCTTTCTTTGTTTTGCTTTTGAAGGCTTTAAAAAAATAATACAAATATATGGTTTAAAAAGTCAAATTGGAGTATTGTGCTTATTAGCAAAGCATATCATTCTCTTGTCCTATCCTTTCATGTTCTCAATTCTTTTTTTTTTTTATTTTGAGACAGAGTCTCACTATGTTGGTCTCATTAGAGTACTGTGACGTCACAGCTCACAGCAACCTCTAACTCATGAGCTAAGTGATTCTCTTGCCTCAGCCTCCCAAGTAGCTGGGACTACAGGCGCTCGCCACAAAGCTTGCCTATTTTTTGTTGCAGTTGTTATTGTTGTTTAGCTGGTCTGGGCCAGGTTCAAACCCGCCAGCCTCTCCATGTATGTGACTGGTGCCGTGAACACTGTGCTATGGGCACTGAGCCTATGTTCTCAATTTTTGCCCCATTAAGGCAATCACTTTCAATGTTATGGTTGTTTCTTCTAATATGTGCCTCCATATTTCTAGAGAAAAGGCTTTTACTGTCATATTTTTTCTTTCTATACACTAGTACCACTACCTGTCTAACCCCCTTTCTCTCTGAATTTCTTCATCTTATCTTATGACTACAGTTATGCCACTGTTTGATAGTGAATCAAAAATAGGTGCTGACATGAATAAGACTGTGTTGAGATTCTTAGGATTTTTTCATAGCTGTAAGATGTTGTACATTATACTTTCTTTCTATATAACATTTTTTTGAGTTAATAATTGTCTAGTTTTTTTTTTTCATAGTATTTTTCTATACAGATCCCTGATTCATCTCCCATTATCCACCAGAACTGAAAGTCTTCTCTGTGTGAGTCCAAACAAATCAGGTATCTTCCTGTCCCTTCTGTTCCCCAGAGACCTCCTTTCTGGGGCCCTTTGCCGCCCACCTATTCTAATGCAGACTGGTTGCTTTCTCCCTGAGGTATCTCAATGGATTATATCAAAACAAAAACATTATAAGAGGAAGTTGTTTGATGGTTTTCCTCTCACTTGTCACTAAAAGATTCCTGAGTGAAAATTAGAAGGCACAGATAGCTATTCCTAATAGCATCTCAGTTTTATCTGTTTTCTTTGGAACAGTGAGAATGAGCATTAGAATTGAAATATCACACCTTTTCCACTGGGTTTCTTCATTTCTTTGTAATTGTTCTCTCATATTTGTGGAAATGAACAACCATCAGAAGACTCCACCTTCACATTTAAATATTTTTTGATAATGTGATGATAAAAATATGTTCTGAAAATTGTTGGCACTTATGAATGTGTGTTTTTTGTTGACTGCTTTGCCTCTTATTCAGAAATAGTAGTACATGTTTGAAGCTTTGCGAGGATAGAGATCAGACTATTTTATTCATTTGTCATCTATTAGGGGTTCTATAAATACCTGTTAAGTGAATGGATGTTTCTTCTATGACTGAAATGTGCTTCAACATCCTGTCTTTCTTCAGTTTTTTGGTGCATGCAAAATCGTTGTTTACCAACTGCATTGAAAGCCAGTGGGTATTCTCCTTTTAGTGTTTCTTGGGACATGTGCTGTGACCTAGGCTGGAAATCATACATATAAATGTACTATAAAGAGATGTATTAAGTCTTTGAGTAAACTTAACATGTTTAATTAGTATTCCTTTTAATTTCTGAAGGCCAACATTTATTCATTACACTTACATGTATGTTTATTTATTTTTTTGAGTTAGAGTCTCAAGGTCTTGGCTTAAGAGATTCTCTTGCCTCAGCCTCCCACGTAGCTGGGACTATAGGCGCCCACCACAACACCCAGCTATTTTTTTTTTTTTTTTTTCATTGTTGTTTAGCAGGCCGGGTCTGGATTCGAACCCACCAGTTCCGGTGTATGTGACTGGTGCCCTAGCCGCTGAGCCACAGGCGCTGAGCCTATGTGTATGTTTTAAAACTATGAATTATGTGATTTTTTCAAGACCAGCTCACATCATCTCCTATACTAATCCTATTATAATTTCTCATGTTTTAGTTCTTTCCACAGTTAGAAGCCAACTGTGGCAAAGGGAGACTATCAGGGAGGAAACACAATTAAATCAGACATATAAGGAAATTTGCCTGTAGTGTTTTTTAAGAGATGTCTCACTCTGTTGCCCAAACTAGAATGCTGTGGTGTGATCATAGCTCACTCCAGCCTTGAACTTCTGCGCTCAAGCGTCCTTCCACCAGAGGCTCCCAGCCCTTAGGATTACAGGTGCACACTGCCACACCCAGCTGATTTTTTTCCCCATTGTTTTAGAGATGGGGTCTTGTTATGTTGCTCAGGCTGGTCTTGAACTCTTAGTCGCAAGTAATCCTCTTCCCTCATCCTTCTTAGTAGCCGAGATTACAGACCATAGTAAATTTTATTTTGACAATTGGTTCAAACTGTTTTTTAAAAACATACTATTTTTCCCCATTACCAACATTAGTAGAATAGACGACAAAGATTACTCATTGAATGTTTTTTAAAACTTTTAATTATTTTCATGTTTTCCCACTTTATTAAGGTCTAATTGACAAAAATTATATGTATTTAAGGTATACAGCATGATGATTTAATGTATGTATATATTGTGAAACGATTATCACTATCAAGCTAATTAACATATTTCTTCACTGAGGAATATGGCAATGCAGTTCAGATGAGAAAGATTTTTTTTCTTCTTTTACAATATCAAAGGTATTTATAATTTAATTGTAAAAATGAATCAGCACCATCTATTTGCAAAAAACCAGCCAATGTAATTGGATTCATGGTCTAACCAGTCCCATTGTTCTGGTGACCTGTGGCTAAGGTAAGAAATTGTCAAAGAATCTCACAAATCCCACAGCAAATTTTCAAAAGATTTACCTCTTCTTCGAACTTGGCTTAACATCAGAGTTGCAAACTATGGTCTGTGGGCCAAGACTTGTCCACTACTGTTGTTTTTAACATGAACTTCAATGGAAAACAGCCCCACTCTTTTGCTTGCTTCTTGTCTACAGGAATTTAAAATGCTTCTGCACAACCACCAAGTTGAGTTCCTGCAACTATGTGGCCTGTGAAGTCTGAAATAGATACATATTATCTGGCCTTTTCAGGAAAAGTGTGCTTACAATAAAATGAAAAATAACCCAATCGTATAAACTTAGAGCTAGAATTTATTTTTTTTCACTTTTTCTTTTTTAGACCTATTTGACTTTTAAATGTTAGATGAGAAAAAATATATGTATTTTTTTTTTCCTAAGAAGGAACGTCTAGGGAGAAAATAAACAATATAAAATCGCTTCCAAGGGTATAATCCATGTGCATGGGAAAGCTATTGACGCCTTTCTCTTTTACCACAGGGGACTGTATTAAATGTCGAGGATGCTGCCACTCGGCTCCATCTTTTAAATCGCTCAGCTTTAAGATCTGTACAAGCACAGGCTAGGCCATCCAGTTCTCAGAAAGAGCAAGTGTCAACGTTATCTCCCTGGGGAGAAGTTTTGACACCTCTAGCAAGCTCTTCTGTCACTCCCTTAAGTAGTAAACAGGAAGAGTATGTGAAGGTGAGTATTTATGGTAAGTTATTAGAAATAAATGCTTGCAGAGTTTGAAATAAAGTGCTTCTCTGTATGAAGCCATAAGATTTAGTGTATATGCTTTCACTGCAGGTCGCCAAAACACTTTTTATTGACGAAGCAATAAAACCTTGCCCAAGGTGCCAATCCCCTGCTAAGTACCAGCCGTATAAGAAAAGGGGACTGTGTAGCCGCACAGCCTGTGGTTTTGACTTTTGTGTGTTATGTTTGTGTGCTTATCATGGGTCTGAAGAATGTAGTAGAGGAGCAGCAAAGCCAAGGAATAGAAAAGATGCTCTCCCAGGAAGTGCCCAGAGTAAGCGGAATTTAAAACGCCTCTAAAGAGACTAAATATAAAAGACACACTCCCCCTGTGCAGTGTTTTATTTGTCTGACATAAAATTATGAATATTCTGAATGGATACAAATCTTCCCATTAATTACAGATGATGGTTTATTTTCTATTTTGTATATATTAGAATTCATGTCATTGGTATGTTTTCTTCGAAGTGATGGCTTTTTAAAAAATTTTATTTTACTATGTCATTTTTACCCATTTTAATAACTTGGTGTTTTAAATAAAGAATTTTAAATGTTGTCATATATATGTATTTTATTGTTTTGTGTAACATTTTAAATTTGTGCATTTCATCACTATGTGGTGAAATGTCCTTAAATCATTTTTTAAAAATAGTTTTCTAGATAATATTAAAAGTTTTGAACTTGACACAGATGATTTGGAAAAAATAAAATGTTTTCAGAAGTTCTGTTGAATTTACTCTGTAATTTTCTTTTATTTGGCATCTTTGGGTAGATTTGTTATTAAGTAAAAATTTACTTAATTTTAGGGCGGCACTTGTGGCTCAAAGGAGTAAGGCGCCAGCCCCATATGCTGGAGATGGTGGGTTCAAACCCAGCCCCGGCCAAAAACAAAAAGGCAAAAAAAAAAAAAATTAATTTTGATAACTAGAATTACATAAAAAGTAAATACTGAGAAATATGTGTTTATTTATAATGGTAGACTTAGTTAATAAATGTTTGTAAATCATACATTTCAAATAAGTACTTTCAAAAATTCTGGAACTATAGTCACAGATTCATTTACTTAACATAGCCTGGGGTATTAATATTTTGACAAATTTGGGCTGGTTGGAAAAGATAACTTTTTTTCTGTTGCTTGAGATTCACTGAGGGTACAAAGAATTAGGTTACACTTTGCATTTGTTAGGTCAGTCCCTCTTTTTTTTTTTTTTTTGCGACAGTCTCAAGCCGTCACCCTGGGTAGAGTGCTGTGGTGACACAGCTCACAGCAACCTCAAACTCTTGGGCTTAAGTGATTCTCTTGCCTCAGCCTCCTAAGTAGCTGGGACTACAGGCGCCCACCACAATGCCCGGCTATTTTTTTGTTGTAGTTGTCATTGTTGTTTGGCAGGCCCAGGCTGGATTTGAACCTGCCAGCTTTGGTGTGCATGGCTGGCATCCTAGCTGCTAAGCTACAAGCACCAAGCCTGTTGTTTTGTTTTTTTTTTTGAGGCAGAGTCTCACTATGTTGCCCTGGATAGAGTGCTATGGTGTCACAGCTCACAGCAACCTCCAACTCTTGGGCTTAAGTGATTCTCTTGCCTCAGCCTCCCAAGTAGCCGGCACTACAGGCGCCCGCCACTACGCCTGGCTAGATAAAGTCCTTATAATTGTGTCCCACCCCCAAGAATTCTTTTTTTTTTTAAACAGAGTTTCACCCTCACACCAGCTAGAGTGCAGTGGCATCATCATAGCTCAATGCAGCCTCAAACTCCTGGGTTCCAGGGATCTTCCTGCTTCAGCCTCCTAGTACCTGGGGCTACAGGCACTTGCTACCACTATTTTTAGTAGAGTCAGGGTCTCACTCTTGCTCAGACTGGTATGGAAGGAAATCCTGAGCTCAAGCAATCCTGCCATTTCAGCTTTCACTGCAGGTCACCAAAACACTTTTTATTGACGAAGCAATAAAACCTCGCTCAAGGTGCCAATCCCCTGCTAAGTATCAGCCATGTAGGAAAAGGGGACTGCATAACTGCACAACCTGTGGTTTTGAATTTGTGTGTTATGTTTGTGTGCTTATCATGGGTCTGAAGAATGCAGTAGAAGAGCAGCAAAGCCAAGAAATAGAAAAGATGCTCTCCCAGGAAGTGCCCAGAGTAAGTGGGTCTCATTCTTGGTCAGGCAAGTCTCGAACGCCTCAGCTCAAGCCATCTTCCCATCCCACACCCAACCAAAACAGTTTTTGAAAAAATAAGATCTACTAAGTTATTATGAAGTAATAACTTTTTCCAAAAATGACTTGAGGTTGCACGTTTCATTTATAGAACAGCAGCAAGAAACAGATAAGCCCTAGTACTGAACAAATTACTAAAACCAGGGAATAACGTCAAGACAGTTTTAGAGTTCTTTTGTTTGTGTTTAGGTAGTTCTTGTGCATATATATCTGTGTGCATATTCTATAGACTTAAATGTAGCTCTTACACATTATTTTAAGAAATCACCTTAGGCTGGGCGCCTGTAGCACAGTGGTTAAGACGCCAGCCACATATACCCGGGCTGTGGGTTTGAACCCAGCCTGGGCCAGCTAAACAATAATGAAAACTACAACAAAACAAAAACAAACAAAAACTAGCCAGGCATTGTGGTGGGTGCCTGTAGTCCCAGCTATTCGGGAGGCTGGGGCAAGAGAATCACTTAAGCCCAAGAGTTTGAGGTTGCTGTGAGCTGTGACGCCACTACTAAGGTGACATAGTGGGACTCTATCTCAAAAAAACAAAAAAATCACCTTAAAGTGTGAATTAGACATAGAAACATTTGATAAAATCTGCCTTAAATTTTAACTTTGCTTAACTCACAATAAAATTTTGATTAACTGCTAAGTATTACATTTTTATCTATATCCTTTCTAATTCCACAAAGGATTTTTGGATAAACATAAATGCAAGTAAAGTGTTAGTTGTATTTCATAAAATTTACACCAATCTAATGAATTTTATACATATATATTTTCTGATTTACTTGATTCTAACCAAATTCACTTTAATTTTCCAAAACATCTTCTGCATCAGGATCAATTTGCAAGTTATTGTTGTTCAGTTAAGGCAAACTTTTTCCTCCATTAGAGAAGTTTCTTTGTTTGTAAGAAATTTATTTCAGTCTCGAGTCTCTTAATTTATGAGCTTAACTCTTTTATTTAATCCAAAGTACATACTTTGTCCTCTCTGTGGCCCAGATCAAATCATATTTTCATCTGTCATACCAATGTTATTACTATTTCATATTCTTGATTTCTGCCTCATGTAAATGTCATTCCTGAAGTTGACTTTTTAGATCTTAAAAATCACAGATTCAGTTCCTTGATATGTTTTTAAAAAATAAAAATCCTATATTGTCTATTCTATGTCATTTTCAATATTAACATTTCCCAATATCTTATGAATTTTTATTATTTTATTACAGAATAATGGAAAAGGAAATATAAGTTTTTTTTTTTAACTACTTTACATGTGAAATTACTAGTAGTGCAATTAGGGAATCTGGAACCCTATTTTTAGCCCATCACCAGGCAATCTGTCGTCTTGTATGTTATTCTCATGCTATTCTCTCAGTGTGAACACTTTTGTCATCTTGTAGTTACCCAGCCTACTAGAATTTAATATCTTTTTTTTTTTTTTTGAGACAGTCTCACTTTGTCATCCTTGGTAGAGTGCCATAGCATCATAGCTCACATCCAGCTCTTGGACTCAAGAAATTCTCTTGCCTCAGCCTCCCAAGTAGCTGGGACTACAGGCGCCTGCCACAAAGCCTGGCTATTTTAGAGACTGGGTCCCGTTCTTGCTCAGGCTGGTCTTGAACCTGTGAGCTCAGGGCAATCCACTTGGCTAGGATTACAGGTGTGAGCCACCGTACCCAGCAGCATTTAACATCTTATTTTGTTTTGTTGGTGAAAAAGATTTTATCACACTTAATTTTAGAAATCAACAATAAGCAAGTGGTTCTGTCTAATATGGTGTACTGTAAAAACGACACAAGTTGAAGTTTTTTATATCTGATTTTATTTATTAAATCATAACTGTGTACATTAATGCATTTATGGGATACAGTGTGCTGATTTGATATACAGTGTGGAATGCTTACATCTAACTGATTAACAAACCATCTCCTCGCTTACTTATTTGTTGTGGTAAGACATTTATAGGCTATTCTTAATAGTTTTGAAATGTATCATTGCATTATGCACATTAGGTAAGGTCCACCAAATACCCTCCCTCCTCCTGGCCTCCTCTGCCCCTCCACCTCCCTTCTGTTCCTTCCTTCTTTCTGGACTATAGTTACGTTTTACCATTCATATGAATGGATAGGTGATTATATACTGATTTCATAGTAGAATTGAGTATATTGGATACTTTTTCCCCCCATTCTTGAGATACTTTACTAAGAAGAATATGTTCCAGTTCCATCCAGATAAACTTAAAAGATGTGAAATCTCCATCTTTTTAATGGCTGCATAGCATTCCATGGTGTACATATACCACAATTTGTTAATCCATTCATGGGTCAGTGGGCATTTGGGTTGCTTCCATGACTTGGTGATTATGAATTGGGCTGCAATAAACATTCTGGTGCAAATGTCTTGTTGTAAAATGATTTTTGATCATTGGGGTATATACCTAATAGAAGAATTTCAGGATCAAACTATATTTCTGATTTTACTTGGGATTTAAATATGATTATGTAGACAGGAAAGAAATAGTAAAAGGACTTACTACCACATATTTTAATGATTTTATAATAAAACTTCTGAAGAAAAAATATCAGAGTAGGAATTCAAAAGGTAAGTAAGTTTCCTTTTGGTGGGTTTTATGTTTGTGATGGGGTCAAGAGGTTCACAGGCTAACTGGAAGCACATACAATATTTGTGCACAAATTTATTAAACAGTCTCTAGCTAAGCCTGAGGGCTCATACCTATAATCTTAGCTATTTGGTAAGGCAGCTATTTGGCTTCCTTGAGGCCAGGAATTTAAAAGCAGTTAGGTCAACATAGTGAGACCCTATCTCTAAATTTTTTTTTAAAAAATTAGCTAGGCATAGTTTGTCCCTCTATATTTGCAGCAGGAAGATCCCTTGATCCCAGGAGTTTGAGGTTGCAGTGAGCTATGATTGCATCAGTGCACTCCAGCCTGTATGACAGAGTGAATCCCTGTCTCTTAAAATAAACAAACAGACTTCCAGCTCTTCAGAAAAAAATCCCCAACATTATCTTAATTATTGCAAATGATTATTACTCTTACAAGTGACTGGACCAGTTACCCCAGCTGTG